ACAAGTAGTCCATGCGAGAGGGTGGAAAGACTTCGTAAGACTTCGAAGAAACAGGAACCACTTGGTCCATCATGGAAGCGTTGCGTAACGCAGTTTTGAGCCCCACTCATAAGTATTTCACTGCTGCTACTTTATCTCGCTGGTTCTACTTCTCTGGAGGTGAAATCCGCGGACGTTTTTGTAGTGAAATAATGGCATAGAACTCACCAGATAAAGTTCTGCTTGAGCAAGTGATTCGCCCAAACAGGATCTCTTTCCCAAACCAAACGCGACCACCTTTTGCTCCAATTTGTTGCCATTGGAGTAGCGGTCAGGATTGAACTGAAATGAAAATTTGAGAACCTCTGAGGCTCAAAAATCGAACTTTTCAATAGGATCGAATAACGTGCCTCATAGCAATTTTCGAAGTATTTTTCGTCAGTCATAATGAGTGAGATTTGAGCTGTGATAGCGGTTCCTTTAGGAATCACATACGATCCAACCACAGTATCTTCAGAAGTATCTCGCCACAGATTCATCGGCACTAATGTAGCGCATCTATGGACTTCCTGGAAGCATTATTGTTTGAAGGCTTCCGGCACCTAAAATAAAACCTACGTTCAGAGCGGCGTTGTAGTATGGAGTATTCGGCCTGTCGACGATAGAGAGCGGACGTCGACCTTTCGTAAGCGACAACAGTTCCTCCTCTATTCGTGCTGTTACCTACAGTACACAGATAAACCCACTAAAATGTACCAAAATGCATTTCAACCTTATTTAATGAATGTTACAAGGCTATTCATGCTTCTAGTGCTCATTTTATGCCCTTAGGTGTCAAATAGGAATGGCTTGATCTTTGCCAAAAAATGCAGTGCAAGGTCGCGCGTTTTCGGGTAATAAATTTTTGTTTTCCGATTTTGGTTTCCGGCTCTTCCGGGTTTTTTCTTCTTCCCTCGACAGCATCAATAAGGCCGACGTCATACTTTGCGATTCGATTAGCGATTCGCTCGATTCGCTAGCGATTCGCTAATCGAATCGCAAAGTATGACGTCGGCCTAACAGCGAACAACTAACCACCCTAGGTCTTTGTCCTATTTTTCAAGGTGGTAGCGGTAAGCAGTAGCAGAGAATGCTCTTATCTATTAGGAGCTTTTATACATAAAGTAAT